TTACTGAAGGGAACCCACCTTCAGCGCTTTGTTGTTTTATTTCAGAAGATTCATCATAATGTTCTCCACTGTTGAATACATCATGAATATGTTAACATACGTCATTAAATCGTTTTCTTCATCTTCTTTAATATATTTCATCAATTCTATATCATTGGCTAAAGCTGTTGTTAGTCGAGCAAAAAATATGGTGTCTAAATCGTCACTCATTGTAAAGAAAAAGTATCAAAGAGAAATACAGAATATATATTTTCTTGTACTATCGTGTTACATTTTCAACAGTCACTATTAAAATATTCAAAAATTTAATGTCAATTAATCTCCAAGAACCTCAAAATTTATAGTCTCTTAATACACCAAAAGAACTTAAAATTCATATTCGGTCTTATATGTATACTTAATGCAAAAAATAATGAATTCGGCAGTTATTTGAGTATATTCTGTTGGATTTTTTATCAATTTCTTCATTTTTTTGTTACTAATAAGCGGCATAAGCCTTTTGATAATCTAAAATGACAGTTTTTGTGAAAAAAGTACCAACAGCATATTGCTAACATATAAATTGAAAATAGGTCTGACACGACTTATGAGTCACAAATATGATATGTACATCAAAACATTAATATAATTATCCTTACGTAGATCTTATCGTCACGATTTTTATGTAGACCTAAAACCTATAAAATTGTAGGAGGACACCTGAATCGGTAGCTATATTAGATGTGTATACGGTGAAAATCAAAAAAGGTCTGGCCAGATCTATGCGCCCAACGGAACGTTATATATATATATAAAAAAGCCACATAATTCAGTAGGTGTGATATGCATGTTATAATAAATTTTACTTAAATAGAAGAAGAATAAAATCTTTTTTTTTAAATTTATTGGCGAATATTTAAGACTTTTAAGGTAATATTAATAAGCAACTCAAACCACGTCGTAATTTTCTTCTTTTGGTTATTGTTGTAAAAAATTATGGAAGAAAGTGAAAAATATTATATTGCCTTGTTAATATTATATTTATATATCCATAAAAACTGAAAATAAAAAATTAGGTAATTAACTAACTAACGTCTCATTATATTTAAAGTAATTTAATTTTTATATGTTCATTACTTTAATATTTGTATTTAATATATATATATAAATATATTCCTAAATATACTATTTAGTGTTAAATAATAAATACAAAAAACTAATAGAAAAAGTACTATCGATTTAATTTATGTTCCTGACATTTATATTTACGTACCTATGTATATTTCTAATATATATATATACATATAATATATAACAACAATAAATAATATAATATTTAAGCTGCGATAAAATATAGCAATTATTCATTTTAAAGAGTAGCTTTCTAAAAATAATCTTAACAATAAATACTCCCCAAAAGCATTTGTCCAGTGGTTCGTGATAACATTTCGGAAAAGCATTAAAGTCAATGAAGCATTTTCACTAAAGATTGCTGTACCGGCTAAGTACCTTGCTTTGTATTTCTACGGCAAAATGTTTTATACACCCACCAAAAAAAAAAAAATTACTTAAAATAAGCTAAGTGCATACTTAGAAACTAAAAGCTGAGTTCTTATTTTCAGTGAGTAGTCAAAGGAATTAATGATGATGCAAATGTTCTTCTTTTTCTTTTCAATAAACATTAAGTAAATTGAAATTATATACCTATTTCGTATATTACAGCTCGTATTATTTTATGTATATTAAAAAGTAATTACATCTTATTTTAATATTCTGTTAATGCAATATAATAAAAAACTGAATAAGAAGATAAAGTTGTCAACAAATTCGGACCCACAGTCACTCCCACTCAAATAAATTTTAATAATGATTTTTTATGATTGACTTTGAAACGCCTCATTTAGCTAAATTTTCATTGAACAATAAATAGCCTTCTAATTTTAAATATTATTTATTAATTTGTTTAAATGAAGTGCTGAAATTTTGATTAATTTTCCTTTCAGTGAGTTTTGCCTCATCGGCAATGAAGTGCAAAAGTGGCTGCATTTATCTTTATTTTTATGAAAAATCTATCAGGCACTTGTGAATTTATATACATGCACTTCTTCGGTTTAATGCAAGTTAGCAAGTCAGCAAGAGGCAAGTGGTTTAGACTTTGGATTGTGGTAAATTCTCCACACAGATTTTGTTGTAGCGAACTGGCTTTAATAATAAAAACTCATAAATAAAAATTAAATTAAAGTTGAAAAGGTGAAATAAAATATAGATGTAGATATTGTAAAGTAATAATACATATGACAGGAAAATGCTACCTTCTCGATTGACTGTAAGAGAAGCATTCATCAAAAATTGTTCACATAGACTATCTATTTTGAAAGAAAATCGTACCGGAGTGGAAGGATTCATTTCAAATATTTACTAAGAAGGAACCGTTATTTATATACATGTTTATACATAATGAAAATAATTAATTATAGTTTAAATTTAAAGAGAGATAAAGACAACAATTGTATTTTAACATCATCCGTCATCAGTTAAAAGATAAATAAATGATAATAATTCTAGCATAGTTAAAGGCTAAAGAGGGGCAGGGATAAGAGTAAAAATGCGCAATAGAACTAACTCAATCCACAAATACATCAACAAAACCTTGTATGAAACGATATTTAAAACCGTCCTTCAAATGTTAAATATTATTGAATTTCTTAATAAGAAAGCTTTTATATATATTTGTCTTTTCTACAAAAAGAATACTATTTCCATACTATATCACTTAAACCAATGAGTACATCAATCAGCTTAGACTTATACAGCAAGACTTTATGTTTATATCTATATCGAACCACTCTTTAGTACGTGGCAAAATTATTATGTTGAGGAAATTTAACCGGTGATTTAGAGGTTGTATTCCCTTCATAGACTTTAGTTCTTGATACAAAGATGTGTCTTATTATGATACGATACTTGTGTTATACCATTCATTTAAGCTTTAATAAAAAAATTCAATTTAATCAATAATTCGTTACTTTAAATTTTATTTATTAATTTATTTATATTTATTTAAATATATTTAATTATATTTATTTAAATATTTACACTATCTGGGTAATTTAATTTTGTCAAAAATATCAAAACAGTATTTTTTGGTTATTGCTATTAGAGATTATTGCGTTAGCGTGTACAAATTGCTATCTTCTAGTCATGTTTTTTTCACTGCAAGGATATTAATTATGATATGTATTTACTGACCTTATATAGTCTTTTTGTCAGAAATCTGCGAAAAGTGTTTACACGTTCTAGCATGTAAAACTCTAGATTTCTGTTTTATAAGCTTAATTTGCTTACCTTATCAACTTGAGTGTATTTCATGCTACAGAATTTGCTTCGATCATGCATAATTTTCCTAAAATCGACCTTTGAAGCGAATATTTTACTCGTTTTTTAAGACATTTTTTAGCTATTACTTATATTTTCATTATTATAATATAATTTTAATGTATATAACACTTGATATCATTGCATATTAATTATTTCTTTAAGTAACTGAAGTCTGGGCCCGTGCCACACTTGGGTAATAGTCATTCGTCTTGATTTCTTACATGTTTTCACGACTCCAATTATGCAAAGTTACATTATTAATAAACTCAATTATATATATTTTTTATATCAAAATATAAGAAAATGATAATTAACCGATTTTAAAACATATTTAGGTCCAACAAATTCTGTATCATAGCTTCAGTTCTTCTAAGAAATTCATTACAATTCATAAGCACTGCATCTACACTGCATCTAAACAGAGACATTGCACCTAAAATTTATGGGTTCGTTGAAAAGAAACAGATTTCTTACTTATTTTGCTTTATTTTTGTTGCACTGCGGTGTGCAGGTCAAGCAGAGGCAAGTGCAACCAACCCACAACTCAACTTAGCGTTTGTAGAAAAACAGTAAAAGTCACCATAAAACTAATGATCATTCAATATAAAGTAAATAAACTAAGCAGCAAGCAAAAGCAGCACCGCAAAACAAGCAAAAAAGCATAACCAAAACAAAAAAACTGTATGGCCAATGTCAGTAACATTGACATTAACAGCCACTGTTAGTGTTACTGTAAAAATGCTTCAACGGCTTTGTCTTTACGCCAGCTTTTACATTAAGCACGGCTTCAGTAGAAAGAAAGAAAAACATTGTATGGCAAGCAAAAGACAAACGTGAAGCTAACAGCAGCTGCAAAGTAGCAAGAAGAAGAAGCACGTAATTTGTTTACATTTGAATGGATTGTCTATAAAAGAATGAAGCTTTTGTTGCGCCATTGTCAGTTTGATTTTCCTATTCTAAGCAGCTACATCGTCATAAGAGAAGTGCATACATTATGAATAGTTGAGTGCGGCTTAAAGGATATATGTGTTTTATTTGATATAAACAAGTGATTTCAAACATAAATAAATTTCAAAATAAATTTCTATTTAAAAAAAAAAACTAAAGATAAACCAGCTAAGTGTTTGAGAGTGCAAAGTTTAAAAACTGTCCAAACAAAACTTGAAAGTGTTCACAATGTTTCTTATGCAGACAATAAATCATACCAAAATAAAAAATCGTGTAATAATTTTTTATTGCATTTACACAATATCCTTGAGTTTACTTAGTACATGTAGTGCTGCAACTGAAAATCTAACAAATTCAAATTATGCAACATTAACCCACCACAATGGCTTACCAACTGCACCAGCTACAGCATCAGTAACTACATCAACATCAACGACTAGTGGATCGTCATATCAAAGTGCGGGTACACGCACCGCTCTTCGTATTTATGATGAATGTGTACGTTCTGAAGGCGGTTTTGTGCCATGCCTCAAAAAGAAAGCGATCTCCTTCATAGATCGTATATCACACATTGATGCCATAACCGTTGCAGATGGCGTAAAAGTCGTACGGCTTTCACGTAACGACATCACACCTCTTCACACCGCTTTTAGTGAGAATGAATTGGAATCAAATCTTCCACGCTCGTTGGAGGATCGTGACAGTAAATTAACACATATGCTGATTGAACGTCTGAGTAACTTTTTCAATGCACACTCCTTGCAAGTGAGTTTTCCTAAGGTAACTTCGGAGGAAATTGGACGCGGTTTAGAAGAAGGTAAGCTAAAGGCATTATTTTTATGCTATATTAATGTAGAAGAATAGTTGATTATATTTTTTTTTTTTAAATTATTCTTTTAGAGTAAAATTTTATATTTAACAGCTAATAACCATATAATAAATAAAAAAATGAGTTTCATATGCTAGTGTATACTTTTAGAAAGACAACTGATTAGAAATTATAAAATTTGATTAACGAAAGGAAAATTGCTGAAATTGACAACGCATATTATCCATTTTTATAACAAAAGTTAATTTATGTTTGATTGTTTATAAATTATTCTTTATTTTATGACTAGCACTATACAACTAACGTAATAATAACGTTACTCTTTAGTTCCATGCCTTTATGTTTCTCAAGATTATATTATTTTCGCAATATTTTTAAATCTAATAGTTAATGTCTTTAATATTATTATTATTTCTATTATTACTACGTAGAGAACACCGACTTATGTGATTAATTGAACTAATACTTGTTGCTTTAAGAGATCATTAAGCATTTAATAAATGGTAACACTTTTGGCGTTTTAAGTTTTATTTCACACATTCCAAGTCGAAACCAGTCCTTTCCCAAGACGAATAAGTCTGCTGCAGAGCTCTCAGAAACAATGTGGTTTAAAATCAAGTTTACAAAAAATACAAATACTGGTCTCTGAAATGCACATTTAGTAAAATTGTACCTCAGTCAGTGGGGCCCTCTTTGAAACCCGTAAACAGTTTTGATATTCCTTTTACTTCGCCGAAGAAAGTTAATGTCTGTATTGGAAAGGTTAATTTTTACTCAGGGTTTTTACTCAGGTTTAGTCTTAAATCCTAGTAATCCTAGTTTACCCCAGTTTCGAAAACCAAGTATCTTAGTCTTTTTACTGCTTATACCCTCGCTAGACTACAAAATGACTCAGGTCCAACTTGGTAGATTGGACCTAACTTGACGTTAGGTCCCTCGTTTAAAGATACAATTAACTAATTTATTAAATTTTTCGCAGGATTGACTACCAAACAAGCGGTTGCTTTATCTTATTAATAACTTAATGCTAATGCTTACTAATGCTTATTTTCTGCAATAGTATTATATACGATCAGGAAAATCAATCCAAAATGTGCAAAAATATCAACAAATATGCAAGGTTAATTCGAAAAGTGTATATTTATTTATATATTTCACTAGATTTATAACTCTAACATATTGCTATGGAAACCTTGTTCTGTGTTGGAAGTATGTATTACTCTCATTAGGTCAGCATCGCTTTTATTTGAAATTATTGGAGATTAAATATTATAGATTTTAAAAACTAACTTTTTACTTTTATATACTAATCTTAAATCAATTAAATAAACAGCATCACGAATACTTTTAACTTAGAAACCATAATCATTAAACAATAATTTTCTTCACAATAAAATGTCAGTAATAAAACCATCTCTCAGAATATTAAAAGGGACTTATTATTGTTTTTTCTTCATTAAAATTCTATAAAATTACTATTAAAATTCGCAATTTTTTATATTGTTTTAATTACGCTGAAACAATTAATTTTAAAAGTTGATATTAAAATCAACCGTAAAAATAAAATTTTTAAAAGCGTATAAGCATATAATTAATTAATTTTTTATTTAAATGCAACAAATTTTATTTCTACCGAAGCACAACAGACAGTTACCGTCATTAAATAAATTTATTGCAACTGAAAATCTGAAGCTGCACCACTTAACAGTGAGTTCAACTTAACAGCGCCGTTTACATTAATAAAAATTATGGTCGCACACAGCGCACAGTAATTGCAGTTGAAGACTTCATTTACATACATAAATGAATTACTTTCTTGTGCAAGAGTTAATATATTTTATATATTTCATATATATATTTAACATTTTAATTATTGCCCTACAAAATGCAAGTAATTGAAGTATTATTAAATGCACTTAACAGTTAATTATGCTGAGTACTTATAATGAACTTAAAATAAATGATGCAACTTTTAATAAATGAAGTGGACTATATAAATATTTCATACGAAAAATTGAACTTCCAGAAGTTATTTGCATATATGATCTTGAATAATATGCAGTAGAAATATATATATTTTTATAATTAAATGTTAAAGTATGCTTTCATACATATTATTTGATGTGATTTCCCTCAACACACTGTTGCTTCTCATCACTCTCTAATATTACCAATATCCGCTCAATCTCTGATTAGTCACACTCACGATGCCTGCTGCCTCCCAATCTTACTATTTTCTTCAGCTTTGATTCGCAAAACCATCTATATGAGTTGTTATTTGTTATCCTTTAGAATATGACGAAAGTGTGATATCTTTCAGCAATTCATTCTAGTAATCCATTCAAGCGAGGTAGCGATTCCCAATAAATTAAGTGGTATACATATCATATTCCTACATCATCCAAAAATCTTAATTTCTGCATTTCACGTGGTTAGGGAAAATTGAAAATAAAGGCGTACGCATTCTTTATAGATACATACTTAGGTATATGCAGCAATATTTTTATTAGAATGAAAAAAAGATATTCTGTATTTGAATGTATAAATTTGATGTATAAATGCAAATGACATTAACCCAGTAGATTAAGATTTTAATTAATTCATATCTAGATAAGCGCTGAGAACGATTCAGAATCATAAATTGATTTGTATTGAGTAAGAATCTGATTTTACCTTCAGTAAATAGAATAATTACATATCAGTAAGTCATTCTGCAAAATAACAGAATGCGTTGCATTATTGGGTTATCATTATCTCAGTTTAATTTCTTTAGCAAATAGAACAGTCTCCCAGGTATCCGTGAAAAAGGCACTTCTTAATATTTATCCTAATCATAATAGTTTGCAACTGCATCATCTAGCTCCTAATTTGTGAATATCTAATGATTTTCGTTTATCTAATCAAAAATACAACTTTCTTTAATATCCCAACATACCAATATTTTCGTTTATTTTCTTCAAATCTTCGTTAGTATTAAAAAGATTCTCAAATTTACATACGACTTTGAAACTATCGGATGAAAAAATTCAAATACAATATTTCTACAGTATTTGCGGCTCTATTATCCACACTTCTAGTTATCCGTGGTTTCAGTTATCCTCGACGCACAATCTATTATCTGTAGTTTTAATTATTCGCGGTTTCATTTATCATCGGTGCTGAACTTCTAAGCTTTAAAAAAGTACTACTTATCCTAAAAACGACACTTATAATTTTATTATTGTGTTTCGACAAGTACTACTCTTTTAAAACTTAGATATTCGGCGCAGAGGATATACGAAATCGCGGATAATTAAAACTGCGGATAATAGAGCCGCGGAAATGGCAGAAATATTGTATATGAATTCTTTACATTATTTTCTTTATAATTTCTAATATTTATTTTGTCTTACTAATCTAGAAAAATTATTGAAAGCGAAGTCTCGTATTATAAACTAACAGCTATAATTGATAATATGAATGTATGTGACATATTTTTAACTAATTTATATTTTACACTGTTTATGTGTAATTAAAAAATTACTTTATTTCTATTACTTTGTGAAAACAAAAACTCTCTAGAACATATTTTAAATTGCTTAGAAAATTCCACTGCAAGTGTGTAACTGGCACATTTCTATCGTAGTCTTGCAATGGAAAATGCATATCATCGTTCAGCAATGAAGCCGGAACAGAGCCAACTCGGAAATTATCGCATGAGACACAATTTACTTAATTTCTGTTTGCGCAAACTTAGCAGTTAAACAATGCCATTAAAAATACAAGATAATTGCTACTTTTATTATTTTTACTTGCACAGAATCAAACTTTTATTACTATTTCCGTACTGACAAAGTGGAAATACAATATCTTTTTTTTCGCTCGAGACTTGTCACACGCAGCGCTCCAAAACTGAGGAACTTTTCGTTTCGAATGCGGTTAGTTTGGTTTCTCGGTAGGCAAGGAAATATGGGTTTGGCGGTTGGAAACGCTGGGCCACAATTGCCATGTGCCAATTATTCAAAGAAAGTTCATTTCTGACTGAAATGTGAGTAATTTTATTGTTGACGATGAGCGCACTCTTATTTCATTTTTCCGCCATCACGTGACTACGAAAAAACACACTTTATATGAATTATAAACAAAAGTGTTTTTTTCTACATAATTATAATAATAATTATAATATTAAAAACAAAAAAAAAAATTTAGTAAGTTCAGTACGAATGTTGGGAAAATTTGAGTGTATGTCTGTCTGCCTGTCGACCAAGATTGCTAGCGAGGGAATTTGAATTTTGAAATTTCTTTCAGTGTCACAGAGCTAAGTATTGACTGGTTCTGGTTCTAGCCACAACCGAAAAGTGACATAGAAATTTTCAAGGGAATTTGTATAAACTAGTTTTCATTTAAATTTAACAAAACTTTCTTAATTTAATGTGACATTTCATTTAAATAAAGTTTTTTCATAAATTCTCTTAAAGCTGACATTTCATTTCCAAAAAAAAAGTGTTGTGAAAAAAACTATTTTTATTAATTTTTTTCGAAGAAAATAATTTAAATTTAAATTGAGAATAATTTATTCATAATTAGTCTTTTTGGTTTCAATAAAAGTTGTACTTAAAAGAAGTAATAAACACGGTTATGGACTTCTCACGATGGCTTACATATACATGCATTTGTATATATATAAGTATATATTTGTGTACGTATCTTTTCATCACTGTTATTATTCTTCAATTCAAATGACTATATGTTCTACTGTATTATTTATATTGTTCCGAATCAAAATCTTTAAAATTCTCTAGGAATATTCCTAGAATACTCTAAGATGAACCCAACTATTTTTAAATTTATCCTAACATATAACATCCTAACATCATAAGCATACATGCTTATGCCAAAACATCTGCTTCTTTCGGTACTTTTGGCTTCACAGATCATAGTATTTTATTAAGAATGCAATATTGCAATATACAATATCGGTATATTTACTCCTATCTAACTCACTGTAT